GTGTGTTTTGAAGAGATTTGATGGAGGAGAAGATGCTGTGCTGCTAAACACGGTGTGAGGGTGGCTCGGTGCAGGGGGCGAGGGGAGAGTTTTTGTCTGTTTATGTGTGTGGGGAAGGGTGTGTGTGTGTATGTGTGGTTGCTGCTTGGGGGGTTGGGTTGCCTGTAGGACCTGCCTCTCAGAGTAATTGAAAAATGTGACCTGGAAAATGTTTGCCCAGCGGAGCATGAAAGTTACCTCCACAGCAATGGTGGAAAAGCTCAGCAGCGGCTCACCTGGCCGCTGACAGAGAGCGCCTCATATTGGGTGGTAGCTGCAGTTAAAAGCCACTTTATCCTTCAACCACAAGCAGACACATGCATTATTTAACAGTATTAAAGAATCTCAGATTGACCAAGATAAAAAGGCAAAAAATTCAAATCGAATTTCTACCCATGAGCTGTAAAAAACCYAGATATCTTAAAGGGCACATAGTGAGTCTAATGTCACTGGGGAAAAAGAGGACTTACATATTTGCATTGAAAAGTATGTGACCTTGGACTGTTTGCATATTAAAAGTTTGTTTATACAATAAAATGCATATTGACCAAATTTATGTGCATAAGTGTGGTGTTAGTATAGAATGGAGAAATGGCACATTAGAAATATACACTCAAAAAAGTGCATTTGATTGACTTTAATAGAAATATGTTTGCATGACAAACATATTGTGTATATTATAATGTGTATATAGTGTAAATTACATTTTTGTGTACTCTAACAACAGCTGACTGAAACAAAAAAACATTGTTTCATGTAAAATGTTGTCTTTCAGAAATAAACATTTGTGTTGTTTCATATTAACAGGATTTTAAGAAAATTTTAGGATTAATTCAGCTTTTTTACTACTGTTGTCCTCAACTCAAATTAAGTCATTTTTTAAATATTTATTCAAATAAAATTTTTCTCAGGGTACAAACAGATTTAATGGTATTAATAAAAACTAATTACAGTATGCCAACTGGTTCCACTCAACTGAATTGAGTAAATGAATGCATTTACTTTACATTTAGAGTACTCACTTCAGTTGAGTGGGACCAGTTGACATAAGTTTTTTTTAATTAAATTCACTACATCTGTTTTTTGAGTGCATAACGTGTGAGAAATCCCTTTTATATCCATGAAATTGTGTTTAATGAACACATAAATCATGTATTACATGTTTTCCATGTGATTTTTGGAGTATTTTGGACATCTCATCTCATGTGGAGACAACAGGATCCTTTTAATGCGTAGTAGAGTGCAACAGGTCCACAATGTATTTTTTTATGTTGTTTTTCCCCCCTCAATGGTTTTGAGCACAAAACTTCTGATGTGAAGTTATGGTGGTTTATCATCATGGTGGCCTTGTATTGGGGTCCTGGGTGCAGGGTTGGGGTGTGTGGCGGCAGCAGATCCATAAAGTGAGGTCCATGTGCACCGGTGTGGATTAGTCATCAAGAATTTGAAGCAGGACTTGCCAACCTGGCTTCATGCCTGACCTACAGCTGTGGAAGATCAGGGAACCAGCCTGGCACAGATGTGATAGCCGTGGCGTTGTGTTGTTGTGTGTGATGCGTGTGTTGTTGTGTGTGATGTGTGTGCTGTGCTTGTGTGGCATCATCTTCCAGGGTGTGACTCCAGCCTGATGCCTTCTGAGACGGTCATGTCAGGGCGGGTGCACATAGCACAGAAAAGCATCTTGGGGAACAGGAAACATTTTTTTAAAGTAAGTGGGCAGCAATGTTATGATAGGCTTCACTCTGAAGAAGGGTTTTTTTTTTCAAATGCAACTTCACAAACCTAAGCCCAGCTGCAATATTCTTTTCCTCAAATAGAAAAGACTTTATTTTTCTTTTTTTCTGATAGCCTTTAGAAGCGAGCCTTGTAAGTGAAGCCTGAAGACACAGAGGTGGAGTTCATAGTTTTCTCCTATTTTTCTCTGTAGAGTGGGTTAGTTGTTCCTGGGAAGATTGGCAACTCTCTAGAATGTTTTCAACGTGAGAAAAGTCTTTCTTTCTACAAAATTATGCTCTTCAAATAGTTTTGACATGACTTCTTAACCTTCTGCAGACTGATGGGCAGAAACTTTCAGTTCTCTAAGATTGCTGGCGCCACTTCTTGACATTAACACGTCTCTGAATATTGCAGAAAAGCAAAATGTAAAAAAAGGAATTTTGTTCGATACTTATTTGCTCCTCAAGTGCATTTGATCAGTAGTACCTTCCAAAAATCTTTTGTTTAATAAGTTTAATAGTTTCAACATTTTTAGCTTAGTTTTTGTTTAAATATAATTATGTCGACACAATGAAAAATGTGTTTTATTTCATTTCATTTGAGGGTAGTATTACRTAATTTTAATAACTGCTAAGGATGGTTTGAGTTTTTAATAATATCCTGTTATATAAAACCTGTCACAGAACTGTAAGAAATATCAAAATGATATATAATTACAGCTGACTGTAAAGGAGCAAAAACAAGAATTCTTTAATAAAATGAAGTTGGAGGTTGGATGCCACTCTGCCACCTGATAATTACAGAGCTCAAAGCCCCAAATACCTGCTGGTTGTAACTCAATTTTTAAAGGAAAGGAGAGACCTCTCACAATTCCTCCCCCAGCTTGTAATGTGTAATAATGTGATAAGTGCACATTTAAAACACTTTAATGGAAGATGAAAATCTCATCATTAAACATGGCAGGACAAGTCTCGTTTACATATAGTCGGTGCATAATGGACAGATAGTTTTACTGATGGGTGCATTTTTTATTTTTTTTTTAAATTTGTGGACACAGCAAGATAAATGTTTAAGTTTTTTGTAGCTGCACACAGATGTGCTCCATTGTAGCCATAATAAAAAGTTTTGCAGTGGAGRTTAACAGCTGATTGCTAGTATAAAAATTCTCTTCAGTGGCTCAGTTTCAGTTATWGCTTTTGGCTTGTTACAACATTTGACAGCAGAACTAGCAGCAGCAGAAAACTAAAACCCGAAAAATAAAACAGAATTAAACATTGTTGCTAAAACTAGCAAATGTGGAAGCACATCACACAGGAGAGATACTGCCTGTTAAAGAAAATATATAGAATAACAAAAATTTACATAAAGTCTATTTGAAAGGTTTTGGTTTGCTTAAAGGGATCCCCGATTAGTTGTAACATCAGACTTTATAAGATAAATAAAGACTTTAAAAATACTGTAGGATGTTCAGTTTTTATAATTTTAAAACTAAAAGTTTAAAAATATAGTACATGGATGGGGCCATTTTATTTACATGCATTCTGGGTAAATGATGACATGGATAGATCCTCGGTGTGAGCGAGCTATATCCACCCTGAAGGTTAATCTTGGACAATATCTGATGATCGATTCTTTTAAATGAAACAAGAGAGCGTTGACAGAGAGGAGAAGGTAGAAATGACTCAGCCTGTAACTGAAATATGGATGGAGGACCTCAGTTTAGCTTGTTTGTTGCACTAGCACCAAGCTAATACATATAAGGCAATATAGTGTGAGGGCTAGCGCGAAGGCTAACAGGCTAAGCTGAGGTTCTTCTTCATGAAGCAGCTCTGTTGTCCTCCATCTATATTTTCAGTTCCAGGCTGAGTCATTTCTACCTTCTCCTCTCTGTCAACGCTCTCTGGTTTCATTTAAAAGAGTCGATCATCAGATATTGTCCAAGATTAACCTTCAGGGTGGATATAGCTCGCTAGCAGCCTCATACRGATGACCTAGTTGATGTCATCATTTACCCAGAATGCTTTGCATGTAAATAAAATGGCTCCGTCCGTGTTAAAATATATTTAAAAATTTGCAAAACTAAACAACCTACAGTATTTTTAGTCTTTATTTTGCAGTTAAAATAAATGTTTATCAAATAAAGTTTAATGTTACAGTTAATCATGGATCCCTTTAAGTGCATCAAAGTGAGGCTGAACCCTGGAAACAGGCGGACACAAGAAGCTCATAATCCATCCATCCACCCATCCATCCATCCATCCATCCATCCATCCATCCATCCATCCATCCATCCATCCATCCATCCATCCTCTCTTCTGCTTATTCGGCATTGGATCACAGGGGTAGCAGCTTCTGCCACCTCTTCCAGCTTATGTGTGGAGATTCCAAGGCATTCCCTGGCCAGAGTCCTGAGACTTCTCCCCGTCGGTCATGCCTGAAGCACCTCCCTAGAGAGATATTCAGGAGGCATTTTTATCAGATGCCCAAACCACCTCAAATGACTCCTTTCAATGTGGAGTCTCTCGCAGATAACTGAACTTCTCACCCTATCTCTAAATGTGAGTCCWGCTATCCTGCAAAGAAAACTCTTTTCACCTGCCTGAATCCGTGATCTTGTTCTTTTCGTCACTACCCAAAATTCGTGGCCATAGGTGAGGAAACGTAGACCGATTGGTAAACAGAGAGCTTCACTTTACAGCTCAGATTCCTCTTCACCACAACAAATCGTCTTTCAATCTCACGCTCCATTTTCCCCTCCCTCACAAACAAAACCCCAAGAAACTTAAACTCCTCCACTTGYGGCAGAYCCTCACCTCCAAACCYGAGAGAGCAATCCACCCTTTTCCAACTGAGGACCAAGGACTTGGAGGTGCTGATCCTCATCTCAGCCGCTTCACACTCTGCTGTGAACCACTCCAGAAGGTGATGGCACGATGACGCCAACAGGACCACATCATCTGCAAATAGCAGTGATGGAATCCTGAGACCACAGAAACAGACCCCCTCAGCACAGAGAAATTCTGTTGATAAATGTTTTGAACAGTATCTGTGAAAACGGGCAGCACTGGCGAACTCCCAATTTGAAAAAAAAAAAGTAGATTTATTTAACAAAGGAAAAGGCAGACAGGATGGCAAACTTAGTTCTGAAAAGCGGCAAAAACACAAAGAACTACAGGGAGCCAACACAATGCAGAAGTGATAAACTACTAGAGACACTAACGAGCTGCAATGACAAACACCTGTGAGGGAGACAAGTAGGAACAGGAGTGAGAGGAGCTGAGGAGGAACARTGAGGAGCAGGTAACCAGATACAGAATGTAAAATAACTAAGAGAAAAACACAAAACCTCACAAAGTGAAAGTTAGTTCACTTTTTCCAGTTTCTAATTTGTTTTATGCTTAAGCTCATGCGATTACAATAAAGCAAATCTGATTTGCTCACTTCCTGCATGTCTAATGAAATACAAAGTTTAATTTGCCATGTAGTGCTGCTGGAAGTAAAACTGCCCATTTCTACATGGCTGTACAAAGCTCCGAGGCAGTGTCTGAGTCTGCTTGTTGGCCTCAGAGAGAATAATAGTAAAAATGCTTCAGGGCCAGCGCCGAGAACAAGCTAATTATGGATTGGCTGTGTGTAAAAGGAACTTATTCCTCCATCTTTAATGAGAACATTTGCATTTTACATTAAACTGATGTATATGTGCACAGACATCACGTTATCGAATATTACAAATGAGCTGGAGAAGTAGAATTGCGAAGCTCTTACTGCTGGGAAGATCTATTCGTCAGACTTTAGCGTTTTATTATTTGCTTGAACATTTCACCCAAAAATCACTTGCCCTTACCTTGCAGTGAATTAAATGGTACGTTAAATTGCAGCAAGTCATGCGAAAGTGTCAGCCTCGGTAGAAGAATGTGTGTCGCCTCRTCACTGCATCACCGCCACCATCATCATCATCAGCCTCTACAACCCCGACGTGAGATAAAGGGAAGCCGTATCAGGTAATGTATAAATGAGAGTACAAACAAGCAAGTAAATAGTGTGAATCTAATTAAAAGATAATGTCAGCTATTTTGTCTCAAATGTTGCCACTGCTGTGGGCCTATCTTCTCGCCCTCGGGCTCCCTATCTGTTGAGCACTCCTGCTCTCTACATGCAGGCTGTATCTTTAGTTACGCTGCTATCTGCCTCCTCACACCGGACTGTATCTTCCTGACTCGGTGGTATTTCTGCTGGCCGTCARGCTTGACTGTGTGCACCTTATTTCTCTAACGTGAAGATCAAATGTCCTGTTTAGTGTCTCATATTCCATAAGCCTCWGAAATTACTTCCAGAGGCAAATGAGAACAGAATTCAGACCGTGTARTGTACATATGAGCTTTGGTCTATTGCTTCCCAGTGTAGACACTTTTTAAAAAAAACAGAAATAGTGTACATTAAAATTCAGTGTACAGAAACCCAGTGTTTTTCACCCCAATGGGAGAAAAAATGCCTCCAGAATTCTTTTCTCTTTGAGGATGACTAGACTTTAAGCAAACATGTCTTGCTTGAAGGATAATATTTCTGACAGCAGGATTGACCAGCCCTATCTCTAGAGCAGCGACTGCACGCTCAGAATGAACATCGGCCCCGCAAACTGGCCGCTGGAGGGGAACTTGAAAGAACAGGAGGGAGAGCACCTCTAACGATGGTTTAGCATCGACCACTGACAGCTGACTTCAAAGACCCGSTTACGAACACGACAGGCAACCCGCGCAACAGGCTTTGAATCCAGTGCACTTTTTTTTAAAATCAAGAATTTATGCTGCATTTAGGGAGAGATTTTTCTTTCTTTTCGCAGCACTAGGAATTTGATTTGACTATTTATTTCATCGGTAAGTCTCCCAGGTTTGTACTTGATGTTGATGGGACTTGTATTTTTACAAGTGCATGATATTATTCCACATGGCAGCCGCTGATATTAGTGTCTTTGATTCCTGAAGAGTTCTGAAGAAAGCCTCCCACTCCAGGGAAGAAGTTGTTTATTTGCCCAGATATATATTAATCTAATCAATTTGCCTCAACGCACACCTTGTGGTGAATTGCAATGGAGTTGATGTAAGAATAAACTAGTTTTAAAATAGGTTTAATTTAAAAAAACCCTGAAATTTAGTGAGTTTAATCAAGGCATAATGTGCTTTTTATGCATTCAGTGGCCTACCTGCCGTTTCATGATATGAAGCCCCATCTGCCTTTTAATGTTGTTGACGAGAAATGCAATGAAACTGATCATTGCAGTGGAAGTATTTTAGATTAAAATTTTAATAGTGAGAAATGTGGATAGTGAAATGTTCGGAGAAAACTTTGAAAATAAGATCATTAGTAAAAAAAAAGATAAAAGGTACATCAAGAGTTGAGCTTTTAAATGTTGAACCCCAAGTGCTGACTGAATGACTGATGGTCTTGAGATCTTGCAAAAACAGGCTCTAAAAAATAAATCACTGGAGTGACAAAAAGTATTTCCAAAACAGAACTAGYTTTGGGCACAAAGAGTGGTTGTGAACACGACACGACACAAACTGTGAAAACAATACAAAGCACTGACACCAGACTGACGACAGAAAACAGCAAATAAAGAGGAACTAATTAGCCTGAAACAAAAAACACCTGAGAAACAAGAGGAGCAGGTGAATGTGGGCGGGGCTGGACCAGAGACAGGCAGGAGAAGCTGAAAAAAACAAAGAAAACACACATAACATGCTTTTCATGACATAACTTCGCAAAGCTGTACTATTAAAAAACAAACAAACAAACAAACTGTTACACATAAAAAATAAAAWCAACTAAATTTTGGGTTTAGCTCCAGTAAACTTACTAGCAATTGCATTTTATTTAACATTTCATTGCAGCAAAAACTTCATCAGCTAACTTGCTACATTTATATTTAAAAGCAAATTRGTTGGTTCGTGTTAAATTTTCACACTTTCGTAAAAAAAAAACCCTTCGCCATCTTCATTTTCCTGTTTAATTTGATGATGATGATGCAATGACTCCGGGGATATCATCAGCTGTATAGGATACTCAGATGCAGCCTATATTTTCAGGGTTTTGTTTGGCCACATTCATCAGCCACATGATTAGGCACCTACATTTACACAGCCTGTGGTGCGGCGCAGTGACGTATGCAGCCAACAACTGTGCCCAATCTTGGCTGTTACCACTGAATTGAGACATGAATTGAGACACAGCCAGGAGCCAGAGAAATCAGAAAAACAGAAGACAGTGTTACCCTCTCATATTTCTTTTTATATTTGAAGCTTTGTATGTTTTATCTTTGTATCTCCTACTTTCTAAGGGTGCATTCACACCAGTCCTGTTTAGTTTGCTTTTTCTGAACTCTAGTTTGTTTGCTTAGAAACCACCATTAATTTAGCTGCTTTTGACATGTAAAATGGTATTGCAGTTGTACAATCAGCACAAATGTGCACATCAGAACCGCAGCATGCAGGACTTCCATGTTTTTTTTTTGGGTGTGCTCAGTCCCGCCCCCGTCATTTCTGTAGAAATGCACAGTGAATGCAAAGCAGAAAAGCACAATGAATGCAAACCGCACCAAAAAAATTTAAATAAGAAGGAAGGAAGGAAGGAAGGAAGGAAGGAAGGAAGGAAGGAAGGAAGGAAGGAAAGTCTGTCTGTCCACTTGGACCAAAGGACTTTCATTGTGTGAATACACCTTAAGTCTTGGTTCAGTTAAAGTGGAATCTGGTGCGGTTCAAATGCACGTGTGAATGCCAAGCAGACCGGAGACTGCTCCAAAAGCAGGAAGCGGACTGCATGCAGGACATCCTGAGTAATATTAGTAATAAATATGCCTGGACATCACTGCTGTGAAGCTGGATTTGCTCCTACTTAGTGCAAGTCACCTCAAACGGAGTTGTCTCAGCCACCTAATGTAAAAAATTCTCCATGGTTCTGCCTTCTGCTCATGCTGAGCCCTTTGTTGAAGAGTGTTATGCATGTTTGCCACAACCATTAAAATGTGACAGRACTCCATTTTTTGTTTGTATTTCATGAAGAAGGCAGTGGCGCTCAGGGTTTTGTTCAAAGGTTTTTGTGTCATTTCCTTCAGTGGTTCTTGGTGCAAAGCCACCACAGGCGAGGAGGTAAACACATCACGCAACGGGTTTGGTATGGTAATTGCAATTTTGGTACCCAATCAAACTGAGTCTACCGGACCATCAAGTGTTAAAACACCAAAATCTCCTTCAGTCATTGACCTGTAATGGCGCTATGAGAATGTGGAGTTTTCTCATTTCAAGCAGTGGATCAACAAACACCAGATCCAAGTTGTGACATTTGAAATCCAAACATCATTTCAGCCTACAATATTTTCTTGACCTAGAAACACTAAAATAATAACATGGAATTGCGCGCCTCCCCTGTCGAGCAGTATTTTTGTAAATGTTAAGAATGACAGGTGCAAACTTTCCCTTGTCCTGCTCTGCTTTCAGCTTAAAGCAAAGATCTGTAGCTGTAGCCACTTCTAAAACATCAACCCTAAAGACACACTGGCACATTCTTGTTTGTATTGTGCATGRGTGTGTGCCAAAGCATGTGTTCTTGGGTGTGTCCTGATGTCATCCCACCCTGGAAAATGACTTATTAAAATGAAATTACGCAGCGCCCTGACCCGTGGCAAACGGCATGAGCTGCAATTTGTCTGGAGCCYGAGCTGTGAATAAAACGTGATTGGCAATAATTTGGCTTTGCAGTTGATACACCGCCCCACGTCTTTTCTTCCGCTTTCCTGACCCCTCGCCCCTCCCCCCTCATCATCATGGGCGTGTCGATATAAAGGTGAGACGTTACGAYCGTGCTGATCTGAGGTCAGTGAGTGCAGCAGAGTGATTCTGCCAAGTGGTCTGTCGTGAGGTTGGGGACGAGTTATGAGAAGCAGAAAAAAAGCTGATGGTAAAGCTAAATGCCAAAACTGATTACTGATGTCCAGTAAAAGGGTGAAAGCCTTGGAGTGTGTCTGTGTGGGAGTGTAAAGCTGCACAGACTGACAGGACTGCACAGGCTTGTTTAAGCAGTTGTCTTATCCCCTCACTTTGTGTCCTATCACTGTGTGTGTGCATGTGTGGGTATGCATCATGTCTATTCGTTGTTATGAGAGTCGGCTCATTTGTTTTATAAAGGCCATTTGCTATGGTCATCCAGAAATGGAAAACAATTACAAGCAGTACTTTCCAATTTATCTCATTTGTCTGCTTTAATAAATGTCTTTTTCTGACAGTGAAAAAAACAGAGTGAGGGAAAAAATGGAGATTGTATGATAGGAAGGAATGATAGAGGTGGGTAATGGAGGCAGGATGTTAAAGACCGTGGTGCAGTGGTGGCCTTGGACAGGTTGATGTACTTCCAGCAATGAGCAGCTCATAAAAAGTGCTATCCGTAGGCCTTAGGAAGATATTCTATCTCTCCGCTGCTAACGGCACAGCCTAAAATCACCTGCTCCATCAAAGTCAGGCCTCCCTTTATAACARAAAATGCACCAGAAAAGCAGCAGGGGAAACAATAAGACGCTGTGTGCGTGCTTTATTATTTGTAGGGAGACATTAGCTTTATTTAGCCGGAGACTTGGGAGGCTCGGTGGAAAGCAGGTGTTTGTAAAAGACCACAGTTTTTGTTTGAGAAAATTTTTTTTCATATAACATTTGGGTTTTGTGTAACCTTGTGCTTTGTTTGCATTCACCCTACGTGCTTTGCAATGTGGTGTCCCCCATAAATAAATAAATAATTAAATAAATAAATAAATAAATAAAACACACCTCTAATTAAAAAATAAAACAAATCAACATATAAAGATGGACAGAAATGAGTAAAGTTACAATGCAGGCTTGTTCAGCTCTATGCCAGTTTTGCATTATGGTGACACCTGCACATGAGCTGCAACTCTCAAACTGTCTTAGATCCTGTTTTTCTCTCGGCACTAATTTGTCACAGATGARAGAATATCAAT